AAAAATCTAACTGCCGTTGTCGTTGATGAGGTAAAGTTTGAAAACTATGGAAAGCAAGAATTCCTGTTCTTCTGGACCTATATTTGCGGTCTTCCTCACATCAAGAATTTATATGGATTGTTCAAAGGGGAACTTAGTCACATTGTGCACCGCAACGTCAAACAAGCTCTTAAATCGATTATTTGGGAGAAAAAGTACCGTGATATCACGAAGCAATGGTTCAATGTTCTCCCTGATAATGATGGGCAAAATGATGGGATTGCTAATGAATCCCTTTGTGATTTTTCCATTCTTGATGATACGGAAGCTCGCGCTTTTCTTGAACTTGGTGTAAATTGTCTCCTATCGTCTATAGAATGGAGTTCCAAAACGGTAATTATTCGTGTTGATTAACTATAATAGCTTTTTGAATATATGTGAATATATTTTTTATTTATTCCTTGTTCAGGAAAGATAGCTTTGACTGTGGTTAACGAAGACAAAGTGTATGAGACCATATACATAAATGAAACGGTCTATTCACTTATTGGGCCCGAGGGATGCATTGCTGTGGACATTTCTCTTGGTGAGGGAGGCACCGTGAGGCTGTAGTGGAAAGTGTGTATTCCGCTATGGGATCGCAGAATCAATTGGGCCCAATTTCGAATGAAACCTTAACATTGAGGTACAGTTAGACTTTATTCACAATACAAACTTAGCTTGTAAGATAAAGCATTTGTAAAACATGTGTAAGATTATTAACTTACTTACTGCGTGATTATTAAACTAATAAACTTCAAAACAGCTACTTAACATCCAAAAACATCCAATTTTTGAAGGACAAAAATTAACTGGTGCATGCCAACCGCATTGACGCCCGAGCGAGCAGTGAAGGAAATTGCTAACATATACATCAAAAGCGACAAAGAAAAGGGGCTAAAGGCCCACATTTTGCCTGTTATTCAGAGCGCCGTTCGTGGAAATCGGTGAGTCAATATTGTATATACTTATAATAGTAAAAATGCTGATGTTCTTCACAAGTATTTTAAATTTATATATGTATTGAATTTAACACTTTTGCAGGTATCACTACAGCAAAGTTATTGACAGCAAGATCACCCCCAAGACTGTCAGATTGCCTTTCCTGCTATAAAAAACCATAAATATAAATAATTTCAGTTTTATTCAACAGAATAATACGGATTGTGATAAAAGAGTTTGTGTCTTGTGATAATTGTTAATTGATATTAGCCATTTCCCAATCGAGCAGAGGACTGGGTATAGTGGCTTGTTTGGTTTGTTTGAAGTTTTCCTACATTCCTAAAGTTATTTATTGCAGCCCTGAAACGCAACAATTATGATAAGGCATCTTTTAATATAATATTTAGCTCGCTCACTATAACTTGTTGACATGTTGTCCCTCCAAACGTCCCTTCAAACATCAACTAGACTCAGTCCTCTGCCCGATTGGGAAATGGCTAATTGTTGATGTTGTTCTAATTTTGGTTGTTAGTGGTTAGTCATTGAAGAAATTTATAGACAATTTCCATGCTTATTAATTCTGATAGTGGTGCGTACCGTAATATACACAGCCTCTACTTCATATACTCTTGAAGTTTGTATAAAAATGAATATAATTCAAGAGGTATAAGATCGAAGTAAAGACCGTGTTTGCGCAATGCTGCTGTAGTTAATGCTTTGTACAATACATCTCGATTGTAATATTTCAAGGTCTTGAGCTTTTTGGATATTTATTTGAAATGGTACTCTTCATACCGACTGGTCCGGTGATATTTTGCGGCGATTATAAAAATCGAAAATATTTCCGAATGTGGCGTAATTAGTCGGTGTCCACTTGGCGTAACCTCCGGCGTAAAATATTGACGGATTCCATACTGGATTCCTATAGGAAAAATTCCTATAGGAATTTTGTCCCAAATTTATAGGAATTTTTCCTATAGGAATTTTAAAAATGTTGAAAAACGACCTTCGACCTACCACCTCAAACTTAATCAAATTATGATTTTTGTAAACTAGCATACCCAGGGCAAATGTCGGAATACATCTTAGATTGATCGGAAACAGTTCTCGGTTAATTTTAACCATTAAACTTAAGGTAAATGTTCAGACCCATGAAGTCCATATTGGCCAAATTTAGCCTACATGAAAACCAATGGATTTTAGAGACAGAACATGTTCTAACAATCTATAATCACCATAGAAATATAAAATGGACTGAGAGCTATGTTTACACAGCTTACAGTATAAGATTTCACTTTATATTCAATGAACAGATAGCAATACTGGGCTATTCAGTAAATAGGACCCCTCTTATTTCTTTTATACATCAATGATTTTCATAAGTGCTCTAATTTTTTCGATTTTCATCATTTTGCTGATGATTCAACTTTGTTTTGCAAAAATAGATGCTTACTTGAACTTGAAACCAATATAAATATAGAATTAAATAATATAGATACTTTGTTATGTGCTAATAGGTTATCACTTAATGTTGAAAAATCAAACTTTCTTGTATTTCATCCTTACCAAAAAAAAATACACTAACAGACATAAAACGTTCGGTAAGAAATAAAGACCTGAAACAAGTAGATCACATAAAGTATCTTGGTGGGTTTTTTTATTCTCATTTAACTTGGAAAAAACAAATTACGTTCATTTCAAAAAAGATTAAAAGAAGTATAGGAATTTTGTCTAAACTTAGATATTATGTAGATAGCAACATTCTGGTTAATTTATATTATATGCTTTAATTTACCCATTTATCACATATGGTTTAATCATATAGGGTAATGTTTATTCCTCAACTGTCAAACCTTTAATTATACTCCAAAAAAAGGTTGTGCATATTATAATATTCTCTAAATTTGATGCCCACTCTAGTTCACTTTTCAAACAGTTGAATATCATTAAGTTGACTGATCTTGTAAATCTACATGTGGTTCTTTTCATGTACAAATATCATAACAACTTGTTGCCACCAACGTTCAATAATTTCTTTACTCCTGTGTGCAATGTTCATTCTCAAAATACTAGGCTTGCTTCTAAATTAATTAACATATATACTACCAAAAGCAAGAACAAATTTCGGAATTTTCAATATCAGATATCAAGGCGCTAAAATATGGAATTCTTTACATGAATCATACAAAAGACTTGCCGATTTCTCAAATTAAATATAAACTTAGAATCGATTTTCTTGGAAAGTATTGATTCAGTTTCCAACTTTTTCTATATATGTTATCGAGAGTCATGCAGGACTCCTTTCTTCTTTTTTTTCTTTTTTTTTTTACTCCTTTCTCGATCTTTTAAAATTTATTTGATATAGAACTATATTGTCAATTTTCATAATTTTTTCATCCTTTTTTTGGTTCCCTGATATTTATATAGCCCTGTGGTTATTTCAGGGAGCCAGCTCCCTTTCAAATCCTATCAAATATTAGAAAACAATTGGTCACAGAACACAAAATATATTTTACTAATAATAGTTCATAGTCAGGCATTCACATGAATGAAGATTAGAATTGCATCATGTTATATAGTCTTAAATATTTAGGAGGGGTCTCCATTGTTAAATTAAGAGATTAATTTAAAAAGGGGTCCCATGACATTTTGACATAAGAATCTCCCACCCCACCCTAGGGTATAATGAATGGTCACTTAAAGTACATGCCATCTTCTAACTGGTTGGGCACCTTGCCCCTTTTGTGATGGAAAATCTATTCCCTACCTTTATCCCCTGGGACAAAAAATTCAAATCAACTCTCCACCCTGATAATGTGCAGATGGTAACAGCAAGAATTGAAGCAAGCACGCTTTACTGGAGTATATTAGGAAGCATGAATTCGCACATGCTAATTTGCTAGTCATGATTTTAAACGTAATATTTCTTATCTCATATAGAATTCTTAAGGTCTTGTTTGCATTTTACTGGAAGCAAACTGAGATGCGCATATCCAATATTTGGGTCATATCACTCATATGTCAGTTTTGCAGCTTGCCAGCTTCAACAACATTTGGCTGCAAGGAAAACGTAAACAAGGAAAGAGCATATAACACTTCATCTGTGTTTAAAATATCAATGAATAAATATTCCAACCATTGGCACTTTATAATATAAGTGACATTCAACAATAGATCAATAACATATACAGTATATGCAAAAACATTTCTTTGAATCACTGTATAAAATATTCCTCATAAACTTGCTCCAATCGTCGCACAGCAGAGTCTTTGGAAGGGTAAAACCAAGTTTAACATCCCCATTTCAAAACACTTTCCGTCTCCTCTTAGGCAAGCCTGTCCAGCTGGAGAACAACTGTCGTAATACTATTTTTTGGCTCAATTGGCTGTTAATTTTGTTTAACGAACGAACGATATTCATCAAACCCAGTTGGAAGAACAGCAACTACATAGTTTCCATGTCATAAAAGCTGAAGAATTTGATTTTGAGTACGTCGGTAGCAAAAAGAAGGAAAAATTTCAAAGACTAAACGCATTTTTAAGCCGCTCTAAGCACTTAAATTTTGTGGACACTCTTAGGTTGGTGGCCATTTTGGATTTTCTAATTCATTATTATTATAATTTATTACACCCACTATATCTGGGTGTTGAAAGTCATGTGACCGGCCGGTGCCAGGGCCTTTTCCCGCCTTCCCAATGACAAAGGGGAAAGCCCTGGTAACGAGGTTGCCTAAACATCTTTCTTGAATATTAAATAGTTGACATTGTTTTGGTTAGAATACGTATTGGAATACTCCATTTAGTGTTTATTTCTCATACATTTCGTCCCGGTTGTGGGTTTTTGTATGAAAAAAATATGGCAAAATCAACCAGCGATAGGCTGCCAAAGCGTCGATGGCCAAAACTTGGTATTGCTATTAGGCCACTACAAGTTAATCTTTAGTTTCTGGTCCGCCGCCCGCGTCCTTTTTCCGTAAAGGATTATTTCAGGACTATTTTGTTATTTATAATTAATTTTAATTTATTTCTCGCTCTTGAAAATTTTCGCGAAGGATTTAACTTATAGAACGATAAATAGTCAATTTACACCTAGCAAAATGAAGTATTGAAGGGTAAAAACCACTGTCTTATATGTCTGCATTCTCATTTGGCCATCATGCACGAGATTACGAGGTAAAAAAAACTAGAAATAGACATTTTGATATGTAAAATCCTTTGTAATCTGTCATGCATGTCGATTTTTAAATAATATATTACAATTTATGTAAAATGTTATAATATTTTGATACAATTAGCATGAAAAGAGAAAAGAAAGGGTTGTTTCTATTTGCAAGAAATACATATATAAAAAAGACTTCAATATTTTCAGATACTGCTCATATATACAGCCTTTTTAATATTAAATAATTTAAATCAAGAAAAAAAACATTTTGTAGCAGCTGTAGAAGGAAATTTAAATATAAATAAAATAGATATTGGCATTTGAAATTAAGTAGTTGACAAGCCTGAATTTGTAATACTTCATGTATAGCAACTATTTTGTCCCTAGAGATTTTGTATATAGCCCATCAGCCCATGCCTCCCATACTTGTAGGAGTTTTAATAGTACAATACTGAAATTTAATATTCCTATTGCTCTGTTTATACATATAGTGCATTGGTTTGTCACGATATTTCGTCCACAATAGATATTGAGTGATGAAACATTAAACAATGCTATTTCGTCCACAATAGATATTGAGTGATGAAACATTAAACAATGCTATTTTAATATTCAGGCTGTACTACTACTAGTACTGTTAAAAGGACATCACTCACAGCAGTGTGTATTAAAATGACACTTACAAACTGTTGCATAGTCAAAGAGAAAAAGCATCAAGTGCTTTATCCGTGGACAGTCACTAAATGTTGTACAGTTGTGACTCTACGAGAGTACCACAACAGTTGTTTGAAACTCAAATTGAATATTTCGGAGGAAGTTCCTTTTGAACTACAGTTGACTAGTGCATATATTGGTAGTTCAAAGATATCGCTTGATAGAGCAGATCTTGATCTTGATTTAGCGGAAGCTGTTGGAATATTTGGTCCATTCATTAAGTACCAGGTTGCAGACCTGGTACTTAATGACAAGGATAAACAATCTGGTAATGACCAGGATAAACAACCTTGTTCATCAGCCTTTGATGTATTGATGGATACGCAAAGATGTCTGTGCCGACATAAACTTCCTAAAAAAATAGAAAAACAAAACAAAACAAAGAAAGATGAACTTTACAATGATGTCATTGTTCTTTTTGAGGAAGAAAATCTGGCATGGTTAAGTTCTGATGTAGATTCATCAGGTAATGCTTTAGTTCAAAACCTCACAGATTGTCTTTGGTACATTGACGGTCATCACCAAGTCTTGAAGAAACAAGGCTGTTCTATTCCGGTCATTTTCAGTTCATTTACTGGGTACAATCAACCTCAGGCATCAAAACATCGTAAGCGCATCCATTGAGAACATGTCTGCTGCTTGTATTTTGGCAATTTCGTCCTCCTTATTTGGTTGTTTGCAAGCAGAGTATTGGAAACGCCCACATTTCGAAACCTTTAAGAAGCATGTTGAAAACCTAGCAAGTTCTTTAGCTCAGTATAGTGACTATCTCGTGTCAAAAAACAAGCGAATGAAAGAAGTGCACAATGCTGAAGTTCCTGTCCGCCATCTTTCTGAATCGTTGTCAGTGGAAGTTGTAAAAACATCTGCAGTTCGCTAGCCTTAGCGAACATCTCAATGACATTCAGCCATATCAGCAAATTTTCCTCACCGACCACTGTCCTGAAGCTCCCCGACAACGCTACGAATACGTGGGCTAGACATCCCAGTCGTAATTTTGACATTTTCGCCAGGGAACAATCGTGGAAATTTGCACTTTATTTGGAAATATTGTGGTGATGATAGCATGGAGATGATATTTCAAAAAAGCATTGCTGTGGTTGAATCCATCAAGCCTCAGCTTCCGACATACCACAACCGCGCTATGCGCATATGTTTGTTTTCCCGGTTTGGCCGAATATCTCCCCACGTAAAACCTGCTGTCCTGAGACATTTTTACCGTGATCTTACTGGTGATAGTTCTGCTTCGACAAATCTTACTGAAGAAGAAATTGATAGCAGAGTTTGCCAGGTTCTGGATATGGAACCAGAAGACCCACAGACGCTAATTGATCTTCGCAGTTTAAATTCTTCGACAGAGCGTGCAAAATATGTTTTCTGGGACCATTGTTCTCAGTACTTATGCGAAGTTGTTGGTACCGCTGTTGATGATCGTCGTCACTCTGAAGTAGTTCATCTTGCCCAAGCAATTTCAATCTGAGACCTTCGCGAACAGGTTAAAGTACGCTGTCCAGAAGCTACTGCAATACCATCGACTGAATGGATCAGACTTCAGTTTTGTCCGAAAACAAAGCAAGCTAAGGTGGCATCACGACACACTGGTATGTTACTGAAGTTTGCTTTAAGTACTTCTGTTAAAACGTTTGTACGTACTCTCGTACGATCGATGTGTTTATGTATGTGTGTACTTGTATGATGTAGGTACGGTATGTATTATTAATCTTTGTAGTGTATTTTTCTAAGGTCGGCTGAACGTAAAGTATATGATCCAAAAAAGGCAATGGAGAAAAGATCATTGTGATGGCCATTATGCAGCTGCAATTTTCCAATACAAAAGCGAGCTTGCAGTCAAATTTCGCGAAGTTGCTACGTTTGCTTGCCTTGATGACATGCACCGTATAAAGGTGGGGGAACCTGGTTTCCCGGTGGCTGCTGCAGAACGGGGTCGTAGAGTGTTAGTGCGCGATGGCGCATCCTTTGAAGTTGGCGACCACAATTTTACAAAATTCAGCTTGGTACCATCCGTTGCTCTGGTTAACGGCATACCAAGTGCCTTGGAAGATTCTTGGTATTGCGAACAAGTGATTGTTACGTTAAAAGAGGGGGCGTTTGAGCCGTCGTCACCTCTACGTCATGCTGCAGAGCTTAAACAATCACTTTGCCAACAAAATACTGCTGAGAATCCAATGCTGTTCCTGTATACTGATGGAGGACCGGATCACCGGATTACCTACCTTTCGGCGCAAGTGGCATTGATATGTCTATTTTTATCACTTAATCTTGATTATTTGCTAGCGACAAGGACGGCGCCATATCACAGCTGGAGAAATCCAGTTGAACGGATCATGTCAACATTGAATCTTGGATTACAGTCCATTGGACTCATGAGACAAGCTGGAGATGAAACCTTCGAAAAGGACATGCACAAGTGCAATAATATGGGTGACATGCGTAAAAAAGCTTCAAAAGATGACAGCTTCCGAACTGCGTCCCTCGACTCTGTAGCTCCTGTTAAAGTCCTGCTCAGTAAGTATTTCAAAGACTGGAACTGAAAGGGAAAAGTATCAAGATTGGCACCGCTGTTTCTCAGGCAGATATTGATGCACTGTGGAAGTCGCTATCTGAAATTTTGCCTAATTGTCCTGCACCTGATCAGGTTAGTTTAATTGCTATGTATGTAGAAAAACGATTATGTATTCTTAAGTTTTATAGTGATCAACTGTACCTAGCATTTGGTATTCTTCTCGTATTTTTAAAATAAACGTTTATACTGAAGTTTTTATCTCCTGTAGTATTAATATTTATAATATAAACCTCTTATACTATCTATACAGTATTTTTCTATTTAACGTTTGAAGGTACGAAAGAAGTCCTGCTTGGAACATCTAGCAGATCTTTCGAAGTTTATGGATCACTGTTGTCGACGACGTCATTATTTTTTTGAAATTAAAGAAGTGTGGTAAGGATGGGTGTAAAATTTGCAAACTTGTCCGAGTTTCACAAGAAGTGTTCCAGCAAATCAAACCATTTCCTGACCCGGAACCAGGCGAAGACAACCATTACAAATCCTTCGAGCAAATTTATGGGAGAAAAACCAGTGAGAAATTTCGCCTGTCGTTTAAAGATAAACCCAAGAAGAAGCGAACGCTGCCATTTCATGGAAAGTTGCAGTATGTGCGTAATGCCAGTTTAATGTTGGAATGTGTGGCATGTGCAGCCTAGTCCCAGGCTCTCTCTCTAATCGCTGCTTTGATGTATTTAAATAAGTCTTAAAAGTTTTATGCCTGGGTGTGCTGTGCGGAACGCTTCAGCGAGAGAGCCTAGCAGATTTCGGTAAAATGGTCCCTGATTTCAAAAAAGTGGTCTCTGGCCTGGTTACCAAGCATACCGCATTTGTAAATAGAAAATGTTATGGAAATTTCCTTTGCGTTTATAATTATAAGTCATTAGTTTTGCTCTAATGCTGTCGGAACAATGGAATAGGCTACGTTTCACTAGCATACGGTCATAATGGAATAACGGGCTAAATATGACTCGTGTTTACTAAAATATAAAGCCATATTAAATGCCATCTACTGTAGAAGCTTGAAAATTATGGCGAGTCTCCGACTAAAAATGTTTTGACAACACAGTTATGTCAGGCAAATATTTCCAATCTCCTCAGCTACTTAAACCTGTCAATAACATCAACGATTATACGACCATTGCTCAGAATCAGTATTGTAAATATGTATATATTTTTTTAATTGAGCACATTTTTAATACAGTTTGAATTTGGTTATGTAGACATTGAACATGATCAACGAACATTGTCGTATTTACAAGGTTATTTTTATATATAAATTTTCGCCATATTAAAAATACTGAAATCTGCTAGGCGTTCTGAAGCACCTTTGGCGGTGACGTCACACCTAGGTCCTAGTCTTGTAACTACCACATCCACGTTTTTTCTCGCGCTTGCTTCAGAACGACTGGGACTAGGCTGTGGCATGTGGAGACTGGTATATGCCAAACGGAAGCTGATACTATCGGAATGTAAAAGCTTGGAAGATGCTTTGAGTGGAACATCTTTTTCCTGTGGCTCACCGCTTCAAGATCTCGAATTGCCTGCTGAGTTAGAAAAAAAAGTCTATGTGCGACAACTGAATTGTCACGATCCCATTGAAATTCTCTATTACACTGCCAAGTACGAACCTATCTGCATCTACTGTGGCGAGCCCGAACCTTTCACAAGTGAAGCAAACTACCCGCAATGTAAGGACTGTAACAACAAAGAACCTATTGCCAAGACCAAGTAGGCTGGCATGATCGAGTGACTCATAGATATAGACAGTACATTTTTTATTGTGTTTTAATAGTTTGATATTTTCGTGTCAACTTTGAGACAATATTTATATTTTATCATCGTTTAATATTGTTATAGTTTAAACATGTAGTAAAGCCTTACCGATGGACAATAAATTGCAACGCTATACGGCACATTTACATTGTGTGGCTGGTATATACTGTTTGTTAATTGATACAAAAGTATTTTTGTATGAAATCGTACACCATTTAAGTTTGCATACCTGTAGTTCACTTTGTATTCCCTTCTTTCTTACATAAATAATACTTAAAAGACCACAAGAATGTGGGCAAAGCCACAATTGTAATTATGTCCTATAGTCCTAACCACCCGCCCACCCGCGTCGTAAACGAAGGTAAGGCCGGACCAGAAACTAAATATTAACTTGTAGTGGCCTTAAATGAATTGGCTTACAAGCATAAGTGTACGACAAGTGGATTATAAAAAAGAATTCCCTTGGATTTTCTGAGAAGAGCAATAGCGATTTTGCTAATTATTTGCTTCGTATAAGCGACAAAGAGGTCAAACATCACCTTCAGGTGAGTTTCCAATGTATTCTAAAGATCTTGGCACATTGTTTTGCTCCATAGGAATTGTTACAGGGTATATTGTATTCATGTTTTTTTTCCTGATTACATTTAGGTCCATGTCATTCGACGCCTATGGGAAAACAGAGTAGACCCCAATTGTGTGATTATTCTCCCATATTGTGTGATTATTCTCACATAATTATTTTTTCCTTTTAAATTGCTATTTTGCTGTTGAAAATTTTTTTTTACTAAATAACTCCAGTAATTTGCGCTTTGACGTTCGAAAAAGGACTAGGGAGAAAAGAAACTATAACGTTTATATTTGTTATTTTGTACTCATAAAACTTAAATACTCTGCTACAAAACATAATTAAACTGTGGTTGGTAGTTCAATGTTGTTAGAATACCTTTTTTTCCTAACTTTCAGAAGAATTAAATTGGAAAACGAATCAGCAAAATAGGGAAATTCACACAAATAAATACTTATGATTAGGCCACGGGCAAGCTCCACTCTTTGCTCAATATTTTTCTCAAGAAAGAAAATTTAATTACGTATTCTACATGGCCAGAAATGGAGGACAGCAAGCGGTGAGGCGCGCGGGCTCATGTTCTCTTGATAATTCAGTGCACTATACAGATCAGTGGTTGAGTTTGGTAAATACAAATGGCTGTTCATTTTTATCGAGAACTAAATAATCTGAGCACGGCAGATTTTCTTATTGAAAATAAGAAGAGAAAAGGGAAGTTTTATAAAGTAGAGAGAATTATCTCTAGAAGAACGCGAAAAAGAAAGGTGAAGCAACATAAATGTACTTTAATAGTGTTTTTATCGTCGTGTTGTATTGTAGAAATATGTGCTATTTTAATATAATAACTTGCTGTCTTTTATACATTTTAATAAGGCTGAATATCTCGTAAAGTGGAGTGGATATGGCTCGTTGGAAAATAGTTGGGAGCCTGAAGAAAATTTAAATGCTTTTGCCTTAAGGTAAGCGGTATTTTAATATATTGAGACTTGATTGAGTTGATATTTTACATATTTACAAGGATCATGCTTAACAGCTTAAAAGTCTGCGTCAAGGATAGACTTTGACATCTTGTTTTCTTTCATATTGCTGTAGAACATATTGGAACCCACAGCCAGCTGCAGATCTGCTTTCCTCATGTGTTGATACGCTTCACACTGCAATGTTGGAAAATTTAAAATAAAAAAGTATGCTACCAACAGTGCTAAACTTCAGGCATGATGTTTTCAGAGCTCTATTTAAAGACCAGGGTGTAGAGACTGAAGATGGAAGGCATATTTTGCTGGAAAC